AGGAAGGTGGTGGTTATCCGGTATTTGCTGGAAATCGCGGGGTTCTTGAGTGCATCGCGCGCGCTCTTCACCTCGGCGATCACCTCCTCCTTGCTGGGCCGCTTCGCCGCCGCCGGCGCGACGAGCACCGCGACCAGCGCGCAAATGCCGAGAATCGCCAGCTGGTTCCACCACGACGCCATGCCTCGCGCTTGGAAAAGAGGGAACGAGAGAATTTCTCGACGGAACGAGTGAAGAGGGGAGAGAAGCTCGAAGTCTTTGAGAGGACTACTCGGCGGAAGAGAGAAGCAGAAAGATCGGGTGTTTCTGGGCAATGTGTGTTCACGTGCTTGTGTGATCATGTATCGAGCAGAACAGGGCTCTGCTTTATGCTCTGGCGATGAGCATTCGTTGGAGCAGAAGCGGCTGGGTTCTCGGCGCGTGAGGTGCGCTGTGGGGGAAACGAAGGGTTCTGGGACTCACGCTCGAAAATGAAAATGGGTGGCAAGCGGTGTAGAGAATAAACACGCGGTCTCATGCGTTTTATCGTGGTATGGCTGCTTGTTTTGTGTTGAACCTCGGCTACAAAAGCACTGCGTTTCGAGTGATGCAATGCCCCAACCAATCGGATTGGCGATTGATTTTTGTGTGGGTCTCGAAACGCGTTGGCTGTGTGTGAGCCGTATGATGCGGCTGGGGATGTGGGGCTTTGTTGCGGAGGAGGGTTCCCTGAACGAGGGAACCCATGGATGGACCATGGTACCCCTCAGGATTTACTCTGGGGGCGCGTTGCTTCAGAATGGATTTTTAACCAGTCGTCATCTGGGGGACTTCGTACCCGTCAGGGCCCGTTTTCGGGTCAAAATCTGCCAGAACCTAGGTTAAAAGCCAGGTTCGAGCAAAAAGAGACCCGAGACCAGCGGAGTCGGTGGGACCCGAATCCGTCAAAGAGGGCGTTCCGGTCAAAAGCCACCCGTTAAAGAATCAGCATTTGGGTAGTTGCTCGTCGAGCATAGCCCCCTGGCGGGAGGCGTGCTTTGACGAAAACAAGGTTCCCGACATCACTATTGAAAATGAAAAGGGATGGCAGGTGGTAGAAATGTTTACGTCTAAATTGTCCAGATCCCCGCGTTCGCCACTTGAAAAATGTTTCGAAACTAGAATTCCAAAATCAATGCCCCGACATACCCTCAAATATTATACGTTCAGGGCAACTAGCCTTCGAACATGGGTTCCGTTCGGCGGTTCGTGTGTTCGTAGCCTGGATGCGACTGCGTTTGTCAAACGATGCCCCAACCAATCGGATTGACGATTTTTTTTCCCGAGTCAGCCTCATACGTGTTGCATCTCAGGCCTGAACTTGAGTGCTGCTGAGCCGTGTGATGCGGCTGAGGATGCAAAACCATGTCAGAATAGAGCGCACGCGAAAGATCAAGGGAACCCATGGTACCGCTCTGAAAGCATCTGCTCTTGTTCCGTGAAGTTGACTAGTAATGTAATGTAAGTACGCGACTCCAACTTGAACCATACACTCCGTCCTCGTACGCGCCAAGGGCCATATCTACAGAGGAAATTACTATGTCAATATAGCATATGATCCATTGTGTGTATCTTTCCCTATTTCGCCATGAGAAGGGATGGAGTGGGCGAGCTCCAAAGGAGATGGCTTTCTGTACAAGGCAATGCATTGGTGCGTCCCAAAATACGAGGACCATAAATACGGAGTAGGTATACAGTAGGTACGGCATAGATACGTCTGCTACGGAGTAGCCTTGCTATACGAACAACTATACCTACAATATAGGTGAGATCCACATTTTTGTGACGTGGGGTTGGAAAATGGGCGCGAGAGATATAAAATGGGTGGTGGGCGAGTGAAAGGGGGCGACGGGGGAAGAAAATGGGCGTGACGGGACAGGGGCGAAGGGAGAGGGGAAGGGTAAAGCGAAACTGAATAATAAAAGAGTTTCATGATGGGTGTTTTAAAGGCTAGTAGTGTGCGCCCACTAGGACATGGGTGTCTGACAGAACATGGGTGTGTGACAGGACATGGGTGTGTGACAGGACATGGAAGTGTGACAGGACATGGGTGTGTGACAGGATATAGGTGTGTGATAGGACATGGGTGTGTGAGAGGCCATGGGTGTGTGAGAGGCCATGGGTGTGTGACAGGCCATGGGTGTGTGATATGACATGGGTGTGTGACAGACCATGGGTGTGTGACAGGCCATGGGTGTGTGACAGACCATGGGTGTGTGACAGGCCATGGGTATGTGATAGGACATGGGTGTGTGACAGGACATGGGTGTGTGACAGGCCATGGGTGTGTGACAGGCCATGGGTGTGTGACAAGCCATGGGTGTGTGACAGGCCATGGGTGTGTGACAGGACATGGGTGTTTGACAGGACATGGGTGCGTGACAGGCCATGGGTGTGTGACAGGCCATGGGTGTGTGACTGGCCACGGGTGTGGGACAGGACTTGAAAAGTAGTCATGGAAAATGCGAGCAATGAAGGACGTGCATGTGTGCATGTATGCATGGGCGTGTGTGCATATGTGCATAGGGTTGTATGCAATTATGCAAGTATAGTTTCTAGTCTCGAGGCTGGTAAGCAAGACACGAAATTTGCAGAAGGACAACCTGATTTGATAGCAGACATGACCTAAGAAATCCTATATTCGATTACAGATCCTTCGTTGATCAAACCAATTCTGTTCAATGAATCGAGGCATATTGCAGCTGTGTCGCATGAACCTCGTTGTACCCATTACCGAGTTTCATGGGACAGCACGGGAGGTGCAGGCGCGGAATGTGAGGTTCAGAGAATATTGTAAGCAAGTATATTTAGTGTACATAGCCAACGGCACTTTTGATAAAGGTACAGTGATGGGCGAGTTGGGAGCGGTTGGCCAGGTGGGAAGGAAGCAAGTTGGGGCATGACACGTAAGTAAGCATGAGGAGCGGTTTGGGCAGTGGCTTGCGGCGAATGAGAGAGGTGAGTCGATGGCAGGAATCACAGGGCCATCATAGTAGGAGAAACTCCCAAAACGGCGCGCAGCGGAAGCAGCTGGGAGGGCAGGGTTTGGCTTCGGAGTGGGACTGCTAGGAGGAGGAGCACAAAAGTAGTAAGGAGGGGTAGTTGTTGCTACTCTGTTTGTTCTCTCGTTATCATGGGAAAGCCTGTATGCTCTCTTACTAGTGGATTTACTCTTGAGCAACGCTAGATCCATGTAGGGAGGTCGGACAGAGGTGCAGTTGAGAGGATCAGGATGCGAGATTGAGTCTTGGGCTTTTTCGTACAAACAGAGTTATGGTGGGCATGTCACTGCGTAGCGGCATGCGCCTACCTGTGGGAGAGACTCCCCCGCTGGGGGAGGAGAACGTGTCACCAAACGAAGGAGGCGAAGAACAGCGAGGGGAATCGTCCGAGGATAAGCGCGAATCTCCGCGCGAGAAGGCTGGCGAAGGAGCGCAAGAGTGGGACGAGGAGATTTGTGGCTCTAGCAGTTTCGCCATGCGAGCAGATCGCCATCCGGGAGAAGGAATCCCATCGGCGGGAAGAGGAGGAATCCCTTCGGGCATCGCGGAGCGCAGCAGAGGGGTCTCGGACTCGAGGGCAGCCGGATCCGCAGAGGTCGCCACATCTGCGCGCTTAAGCGAGATGGGTGGCGGAGGTGCCATCGGGGGGAGAGGCGCGTCCGTGGGAGGGCCGTCAAGGCGGTCCTTGTGGGAGGAGGGGACGAGATATTGCTACACCAGCCTTCCGAAAGTGGAGGTTCCAGCTCGCTTTACGGGCGACCAGGAGATTGGGACGCGGCTTAAGGCGTATGTGATGCACATCCACTGCGAGAAGTTCTGCTGGGAGCAAGATGGATTGGACTTAAGGCACTTCTTTCGCTCCCTGGGGAACACGCTGGCCGGAGACGTGGAGGCGTTCTTACTGGAAGTGCGCGATCTGCTGCTGCAGGAAGAGGAGCGGGATGCTTTGGGCCGGGTTTGCTGCGATGAGGAGGGATGGATCTTGATGCTAAGAGATCCGACGGAGAGGTTCCTCGCCGAGCTGCAGGTCCATTTCCCCACGCAGACGCGGCGCGGCTAAGAGAGTTTGAGCAGCTGCGGAGGGCCTCAAGAGAGTCACTGCTAGCGTATTACCGGCGGGTGGATCAGCTGGCTGACGTCATCAGCTGCAACGAGCCACGGATAGTGGTGGCGAAGTTCCTAGATGGGCTGTCGAGAGATCTGGTGGGGACGGTGCGAGACCACACGTACAACCTACGGCCGAACGCCACGCTTCGTCAGGCGTATGCGATAGCATGGCGGAATGAGCAGTCCCTGAGCATGTATGACCTCGGGAAGAGGGCAGAACGGACCATGCCCCACGAGCGTGATCGCAGGGGAGTAAGCTGGGGTGGAGCCATGATGGCAGACAGCGAAGGAGATGAGGAAGGAGGGCTGGAAGGCAGGAATCAGAGGGGACGGGCGAGGAGGGCAAAAAGTGCGACTCCGCCCCCGGGTGAAGAGCCTGTGTGCTATAAGTGCAGGGAGCCCGGGCACTTCAAACGAGACTGCCCCAAGTTGCAATCCTGTACATATTGCCAGCGAAAGGGGCATGCGGCCGACGACTGCTACACGAAGCAGAGAGAGGAACGGAGCCGTGGGGGCAGACGCAGTCGCATAGAAGCACTGGAAGAAGAGCTCAGGAAGCTCAAGGGGGAGGCGGAGGGCAGCGAGGAAGAGGAGGACTAGGGAGCACTAATGGCTTGAACAGACCAAGAGGATAAGGGGGAGCTGCCAGAGCCCTTCTTCATGGCCTCGGGGAGAGATCGAGACCGAGAAGACCTGGGGCTGCGCATCGGGGGCAGAGATGGACGCCGAGATATGCAACAGGGGCACAGAGGGCCGAGGATGGAGCCCTCCCCAGCGGTGCAGCGTGCAGCGGAAGCTGTAGCGGAGGCAGTGGCACGTGCAGGGGGCAGCCATGGGCCACGCATGCATCCCTTTGAGCGTATGGCGGCACGTCCGTGCGTGGTGGAAGCAGTGGAAGGGTCCGTGGAGGTAGAAGGAAATTACCTAGGTACGACGATCATTGACATGGGTGCCTCCCAGGTGCTGATCGGTAGGCGACTGGCCGAGCATTTGGGGCTCCACCAAGAGGAAAACGTGACACCTGAAGGGGTGAGGATACCGACAGCAGAAAGGGGGGGTAGGCAAATGCCTGCCAAGGACCTTGCGTTTGCAGGAGGTAGTGTTGGCTCCCGGGAAAGAGAACGAAGCGAGACTCAGGGTGCACTGCCTCATCTCGGATTCCGATGATTACAATCTATTGCTAGGTATGGAGCTGTTGTAAAAAATCGGGGCAGTCGTGGACACCTGGGCAGAGAAGGTCACGTACCAGCCATGATACTGGGATGCAGACTTACGGCGAGAAGAGAGTACAGCGGCTGTATTGCCCGCTCGGTTCCTGAGAGGGAGACCCGTGTACAGGGAGCCGTCCGCAGACCGGGTGCCTGAAAACCGATTCAAGGATGCTGGAGTGTACCTGGAGAAGAGCAGTGAGAGGCGGAGATGGGAGGAAGCAGCCGGCCCGAGAGTGGAAGAGTGCCGTGAAGCAAAGGGCTTGACAGAGCCCACGTACGATTTTGAGACGGACATCTTGGAACCAGGCAGGCGGGCTGCTCCGGTAACCATGCCCGACGCTCGAGTGTAGTACCCATGCAATGAAGTGGGGGCACCACGTCAGGCCTGGCCCACGCTGGTAGCGACCCCAGGCAGCTATGCCTTCCGGATGCAGGATGGACAGCCAGGGCCCGGAATGGTGCAGGTCCTGTCCACTGGAGAATGGGAGGAACCCTTGGCAGTGGAGCGAGAGCGGGCAATAGGGTACTTGAGAAATGCAACCGCAGTAGAGGGAGTGACGGAAGCAGAGAGGTGGCGAGCTCTAGGGGGAGCGATAGATCAGCACACACTGGTATGGTTGATGTACCGGGCAGAGAAGCGATAGGAGGCAATGCACAAGCGGCTGCTGATGATTTGGAGGTGGAGGGATATAGAAGAAATGCTAGAGGCAGACCCAGTTCAAGCCATGGACATAGCGAAGGCATGGCGAAGGATGAAAGTGGAGGCAAGGGAGGAAGGTAGGCGGGATGAAGAGTGCTTGAATAGCAGAGGAATCAGCCTCTTGGCGAGAGCAACGCAGGAGGCTGAGGAGCGGCAAGATACGAACGAGGAGCTGGAGGCAGAGCCCCCCCCCCTTAGGGACGCTCCCCCTGAGGAGAGTCAGTGGGACATAGGGGAGGGGCTGGAGGAGGGACAGAAGGAGGAACTAACGGGGGTACTCGAGAAGGCCAGAGACGCCTTCGCATACTCACTGGCAGAACTGGGCAAGTGTAACCGGACAGAGATGGAGATTGATTTGCAGAGCTCTGAGCCTGTGTATCAAAGGAGACGGAGACTGAGTCCAGGGGATCGCGACATCGCTATAGCCAAATGCAAAGAGGTGCTAGCAGCCAGCTTGATTCAAGAATCAACATCAGAGTATGCAGCGGCAACTGTGGTAGCGGTACACAAGTACTTGACAGGAGAAATGCTAGCAAGACGGATGTGGGAGGATTATCGAGGCCTGAACCGCATGACGAAGAGCGATAGGTACCCCATGCCGATGGCGGAGGAGATTTTTGACAAGCTGGCGGAAGGGAGGATTTACTCAACTTTAGACCTCCGGCAGGGATTCAATCAGATCCCGATCAAGGAAGAAGATAAGGCCAAGACCGCGTTTCACGGTCCAGACCGGCTCTTCGAATAGAACTTCATGCCATTTGGCTTGAAGAACGCCTCTGCAAAGTTTCAAAGAGTAATGGACCAAGTCCTCCAGGAGGTGCCGCGGGCACTGTGCTACATTGATGACGTCGTCATCTACAGCCAGATGACGTAGCTAACGTGGCGGCGACCTTAGCGACTATCCAAAGAAATGCCACTTGGGGGTTACGACAGTAGCTTACCTGGGGTTTCAGGTGGGAGAAGGCGGGCTCTCGGTGCAGCAGGCGAAGGTGGAGGTGGTTGACAGGCTGAAGGCGCCCACGGATTGTAGCACGCTAAGAGCGCAGCTGGGATTCCTGAGCTACTACCGCAGGTTCATCCCGAACTTCAGCAAGACAGCCAAGCCACTAAGTCAGTTGTTGAGAAAGGATGAAGGATGGAAGTGGTGGAAAGAGCAAGAGAGAGCATGGACCACCCTCAAGGAGGCCGTGAAGACGGCGCCGCTGCTGAAGCTGCCTAACCCAGACGAGCCTTTCCTGCTGTACACAGACTGGAGCAGCAGTGGGATGTGCACCGTGCTCTGTCAGGAGGAAAAAGGAACAGAGAGGGTGGTGGCGTACGTCAGCAGGTCATGTAGCCCGGCGGAGAGCAATTATAGCTCGTACGAGGGAGAGGGGTTGGCGGCAGTGTGGGCGGTAGAGCTGTTCCGGCCCTACTTGCAGGGGAGGAAGTTCACGCTGGTGACGGATCACCAACCACTGCTCTGGCTGATGACGAACCAAACCCTGAAGGACCGGAACGCTCGATGGGCTATGCATCTACAGGAGTTCGAGTTCGACGTGAAGCATCGACCGGGGAAAGACTTGCAGCATGTGGATGGCCTAACTCGCCAGAGGCAAGAGGGAGACGAGAGGAGAGAGGTGCGGGCAGAGGCCGCACTTACTTGTATGGCGGTGGCCCTGGAGAAGGAGGGATGGAACCGGAAGACAGAGACAGCAAAGGGCAGTTGAGAGATTTGGGAAGACCAGCCAGTGCTCGCCTGGGGTTCAGGGCAGGGGACCGGAAGGGGAAGAAGTTCCTGAGAGGGTGCGAGTGCGGGGGGGTGCATTACCGATGGCAGACGGATCAGCAGCAGCTGGTGACAGAAGATGGGTGGCGGATAGTGCCACGGCCAGAGGAAAGGGAGGCCCTGATCGTGAAAGTACATACACAGTTGGGGCACTATGCCGTGGAACGGACCGTACAGATGCTGCAGACCATGTACTGGTGGGCGGGCCTGAGAAGAGAAGTGAAGGAAGTGCTGGCCAGATGTGAGCCATGCAGCCAGAGCAAGGCAAAGCTGGAGCGAACCAAGGCAGAGCTGCAGTCTCTACCCATCGGTTCAATCGGGTATCGCTGGTCCTTAGACATGGTGGGGGAAATGCCGCTATCTCGGCGAGGCAAGCAATACATTCCGTGATGATCGAGCTCACGAGCAAGTGGATAGAGGTGGCAGCACTGGCATGGAAGACAGCAGCAGCAGTGGCAAAGGCTTTCACCCAGCAAGTCGTAACCAGGTCGGCGCATGTGGGGAAGTTCTGACGGACAAGGGTGGAGAATTTGCGGGAGAATTCCACGGCCTGCTGCAAGAGGTGGGCATCACCCAGCGGCGGACTTCACGGTACCATCCCCGGGCTGATGGCCTGACAGAGTGAATGGTCCAGACTCTGAAGATGGGCCTGAGGAAGTACTGCAAGGAGGAAGAGCGAAGGGAGTGGGACCAACATCTGCCGTGGGTGGCGGCGGGGTATCGCTTCAGCAAACAGCAGGCTCTGAAGGATTATTCCCCGTACTATCTGGTTTTCGGGAAGGAGCCAGTGCTGCCGGTGGACGCTCCACTGATAATGGTGCAGTCGGTGTCCACTGACGACCCGCGCACCTGGGCGGCGGTGGCAGCCAGATGCGCTAGCTACCTCCGCAGCGTGCTGCCAGCAGCCTTGGAAAATCTGGAAGTGGCGCAGCTCCGTGATGCTCGATGCTACCGACAGCGGAAGGAAGGAGTAGGTGGAGGACCTAGGCATGGGACTGAGCTGCAAATTGGGGATGAGGTGTACCTGAAGGAGCCGCGGCATAATACGCTGGAGTGTGGCCTGAGTAAGCAGCGGTGGGTCGTGCGCAGGAAGGAGGAGTCGGGGGTCCTGACACTACAGAATGCGCCAGGGAGGTCGGTTCAGGATCATGTGACGAATGTCGCCCGAGCATCCGGTTCGCGACCAAGCAGCGGGGGCGCAGGGCAGACCGAGAGGGGGCATGAGTCAGGGGAGTCGAAACTCATCACATACAAGCGTAGGGAAGGCAAAGAATCTTAGGAACCAGGTTAGGCATTGCAGATGAGAGCTGCGGGGAGGGGAGGAGGCTATGCGACAGCTGTCGCATGAACCTCGTTGTACCCGTTACCGAGTTTTATGGGACAGCGCGGGAGGTGCAGGTGCGGAATTAGAGGTTCGGAAAATGTTGTAAGCAAGTGTATATAGTGTACATAGCCGACGAATCTTTCGATAAAGGTACAGTGATGGGCGAGCTGGGAGCGGTTGGCCAGCTGGGAAGGAAGCAGGTTGGGGCATGACACGTAAGTAAGCATGAGGAGCGGTTTGGGCAGTAAAATCAGCGAATGAGAGAGGTGAGTCGATGGCAGGAATCAGGGTGAATGAGGCATGAGAGTGCGAAAGCATCAAAAGCTGTTATGTTGATATGCAATAAGAATCTGGTGACAGGTTTTGACAAAGGAACCTGACTAAGGGTGAATCTGACAATGGGGATTCGACTGTGAATTCCTGAGATGGGAATCTGACAATGAGGTCAGTCATGGAACGTCGGCACTGGGAATTGTAGACGGGAATCTAAAATTACAATTCTGACAATAGAGAACTGACTACGGGGGATTGGGGAATACGAACCTGACATGGAAAAATGAAGCGGGAACATGACATGAGTATATGCCATGGCTATCTAACAACGGAAATCTGACAATGGGAATCATCTGGCTCAGAAATCTGACATAGAATTCTGACAGTCAGCATCTGACAGTAATAATTGAACAACGGGGAATATATAGGATTCGAGCAGCTGGAACGTAGTCAGCTGGAATCTGGGGAAAAAAGAAGAATGAAGTGAGAATCTGACCACGGGAATTGGAAAATGGAATGTGGCTGTGGGTGAATGTGACAATGAGATTCTGACAGATGAATCTGATATGGAAATCTGGCAACGGAAGTCTGACATGGAAAGTTGGCACTAAGAATTGGAAATGGGAATCTGAAAGCGGGAATCTGAGATTGGAAATGACAATGGGAAAAAGATTATACGTACCTGACACGCAAAACTAATATAACATGGGTATACGAGAGCATACGTGACAACGGGAATCAGACCTGGGGCTTGGGAATCTGACTTAAGGATCTGACCTGGGAATCTCACCTAAAAAAACTGACCTGGGAATCTGACCTGGAAAAATGACGTGGGAATCTGGCTTGGGAATCTGACTTGGATAGCTGACTTGGGATTCTGACTAGGAAATCGAACTTGGGAATCTCACCTGGAAATCTCTTGCCGAATCTGACTTGGGAATCTGACTGATTTCGGAAACTGACAGACCTTGGAATCTGACTTGGGGATCTAACCTAGGAATCTGATCCAGGAATCTGACCTGGGATTGTGACCAGGGAATGTGACCTGGGAATCTGATTTGGGAATGCGACTTGGTAATCCGACTTGGGATTCTGACTCGGAAATCTGACTTGAAAATCTCACCTGGGAATTTGACAGGATCATTATGGGATCCTGATAAAGGGAAAGAAAATTTGGAGTGAGATTACTATGCTCATGGCAATAATTGGGAATCTGACCTGGAAATCTGGCTCAAGAATCAGACTTGGGATTCTGACTTGCGAATCAGACTAGGGAATCTGACTTGGGAATCTCACCTGGGAATCTCATCTGGGAATCTCACCTGGAAATCTGACCTGGGAGTCTAACCTGGGAATCTGACTTGGGAAGCTTACTTGGGCATCTGACTCTGGAATATCACGTGGGAATTTCACCTGGGAATCTGACTCGGGAATCTGACTTGGAAATCTGACTCGGGAATCTGACTCAGGAATCTCTCCTGGGAATCTAACCTGGGAATTTGACTTGGGAATCTGACTTGGGAATTTCAATTAGGAATCTGACTTGGGGGAATCTGATTCGGGAACATCACCTGCGAACCTCACGTGGGAATCTGACCTGGGAATGTGACCTTGGGAATCTGACCTGGGCATCTGACCAGGGAATCAGACCTGGAAATGTGACCTGGGAATCTGACTTGGGAATCGGACTCAGGAATCTCACCTGGGAATCTGACCTGGAAATCTGACCAGGAAATCCGACCTGGGAATCTGACTTGGGGGAATCTGATACGGGAACATCAACTGCGAATCTCACATGGGGATGTGACCTGGGAATCTGACCTGGGAATGTGACCTTGGGAATCTGACCTGGGCAGCTGACCTGGGAATACGACCTGGGAAGGTGACCTGGGAAACTGACTGACTTGGGAATGTGACCTGGGAATCTGACCTGGGAATATTATTTTTAGAATCTGACTTGAGAATCTGACTCAGGAATCTCACCAGGGAATCTCACCAGGGAAATCTCACCTGGGAATCTCACCTAGGATTCTCACCTGGAAATCTGACCTGGAAATCTGACCTGGGAATCTGACCTGGAAATCTGACCTGGGAATCTGACCTGGGAATCTGACATGGGAATCTGTCTTGGGAATCGTACTTTGGAATCCGACTAGGGAATCTGACTCAAGAATCTCACCTGGGAATCCGACCTGGGAATCCGACTTGGGAATCCGACAGACCTGGGAAACTGACTGACTTGGGAATGTGACCTGGGAATCTGACCTGGGAATATGATTTTTAGAATCTGACTTGAGAATCTGACTCAGGAATCTCACCAGGGAATCTCACCTGGTAATCTCACCTAGGAATCTCACCTAGGATTCTCACCTGGAAATCTGACCTGGAAATCTGACCTGGGAATCTGACCTGGAAATCTGACCTGGGAATCTGACCTGGGAATCTGAGTTGGGAATCTGACCTGGGAATCTTACTTGGGAATCCGACTAGGGAATCTGACTCAGGAATCTCGCCTGGGAATCCGACCTCGGAATCTGACTTGGGAATCTGACTTGGGAATTTCACATAGGAATCTGACTTGGGGGAATCTGACTCGGGAACATCACTGCGAATCTAACATGGGAATGTGACCTGGGAATATGACCTGGGAATGTGACCTTGGGACTCTGACCTGGTCAGCTGACCTAGGAATATGACCTGGGAATGTGACCTGGGAATCTGACTCCGACTGACCTGGGAAACTGACTAACTTGGGAATGTGACCTGGGAATCTGACCTGGGAATATGACTTGGGAATCTGACTCAGGAATCTCACCATGGAATCTCACTTGAGAATCTCACTTGGGAATCTCACCTGGGATTCTCACCTGGGAATCTGACCTGGAAATCTGACCTGGGAATCTGACTTGGGAATCTGAATTGGGAATCTGACTTGGGAATCCGACTAGGGAATCTTACTCAGGAATCTCACCTGGGAATCTGACCAGGGAATCTGACTTGGGAATCTGGCTTGGGATTTGGACATAGGAATCTGACTTGGGATTCTGACTCGGGAACATCACCTAGGAATCTCACCCGGGAATGTGACCTGGGAATCTGACCTGGGAATGTGACCTTGGGAATCTGACCTGGGCATCTGACCAGGGAATCTGACCTGGGAATGTGACCTGGGAAACTGACTGACTATGTGACCTGGGAATCTCACCTCAAAATCTCACCTGGGAATCTGACCTGGGGACGTGACCTGGGAATCTGACCTGGGAATCTGACCTGGGAATCTGACCTGGGAATCTGACCTGGGAATCTGACCTGGGAATCTGACCTGGGAATCTGACCTGGGAATCTGACCTTGGGAACATTCATTGCCACCTGGCAGCTGTTCATAGGCTGCGATGGCGAGGGAGGGTGGGAGGGGAGATAGCAGGGCAGGAGGGACGAGGGTTGAGGATAGTAGTAGGGAGGCGGGCGTAGGAAAGGGGGAAGGAAGCTGCTTGGAGCTAGCCTCCTGTGCAGACGACCATTCTGTAAGGTTGTTTCAAATCAACGGGCATTCTGTGTATCAGCGGCACTCTTTCTTTATCTGGTGTAATTTCCTATCCTACCTGTAGCGGCTCAATGCCCAGCTTCCATATCGTAATTTGAAGAGACTCTAAACAGGATGCATGGACAAGGACAGCGTGGCCTTTTGCATGAAAAGTTTTGTATGGAAGCAACTTCAAAAACACCAACTAGTAAATGATTACTACCAGAAGTTTGTACACGGAACAAGGCATTTCTCCAAACCACTACCCCCCCCTCCGTAAACCCCAGCTAGTTGCTGGAGCCTCCAGCCAAGCACCGTCACACTAATGCGTTGCTCCACCCAGTCCAGTACAGATAGCTCTACCCAGGAACGCGTAATCTAGACACATGCGAGCACCAAGGAAAACACAATAGTTGGAGAAAATCTCGCGAATCTCACGAATCCCGTCTCGCGCGATTATATTCCAATTTTCGCTGCGGAACGGGATTCGCGAGATTTTCTCCAATAGTTGTAGGGCCTACGGAGCTGATCAGCCTTTTCGCACAAACGCTTTGATTCCGGCAGGCGGGTCAGTACGGCGACTGCAGAGCGTCCACACCATGAACGATCAGAAACTTCCCTTTGAAAATCTCAGGGTCCGTCCCAAAAATTGGGGCCGGAAACCTATGCACCTGCTTCGCACGTTCGCGGAAGTGCTATGCACCTACTATGCTCGTGAAGGCTATGTCTAAACGTGTTCATCAGTGAAGCATAAACATAGTTCCGAAATGCAAAGCTCATACAAAGCACCTACTTAGTGCGAGGAATGTCGAGGTGCATTGCGTTTACATTGTCCATGCTGATCGTCGTGCTATGATGTTGCGCTAGACGTAGCATGCGCTATGCATGTGCTTTGTGTGCTTTCGTCATTGCTATGTTGATGCTATGCAGACACATAGTATTTCAAGCCTGAAGCATTCCCGCCACAATTCATGTTGTTTTATATCTAGTACACTAGGTGCAGTAATTCTGTATTTACATATTCATATAACATCTTGATTGCACAAATAAAAAATACAACAAAATTGAACTACAAATTCAGCACTTCCGTAGCTCGATTTCGGGAAGGTGACAAATCATGAGAACGGGATAAAAGCGGTGACATGGAAGCGGATCCCGTTCAACGGCTATTTCCACCATGCCTTCAAATTTGCTTCATCAAGGTCGTGACTGGGTTCTGTCCACTCTTTTCCAGAGCCCTGCATGCCAGCTGAGTACAGGGCAGAGAATGCAAGGCGACAAGACAGGTAGAAATTCTAACAGCATAATTCAACTTACGGATTTTGGCATACAGTAGTAGTACAATCAAAATCTTGTCCAGCAAACAGGAAACCGGGACCGGAGGGTGAGTTGATAAGAGAAATAGGACGGGAAACGACGGAGTCAGGATACATTCAGACTTACCGTTTAGGCCGCCATGGTGATAGTGCCCGGATCGAGGATCGCGGCTGGTGCACCATACGGAGGTGCTGCCTTTTGACATAAGAATTTTCTTGATGAGGAACCTGCAACGAAGTAAGAAAAACCAAAGTTATTAGTCAGCAGAAAGGGGCTGTACTGTGGAACGCTATAAAAACGACGAACGGTATAACTACCGATACGCAGGAACGAAAACGCCACGGCTCCTACTCAGTGCAGTCTTAGATCTAGGAGTTCAGAGTGGTATGAAAATGGAGAAGGAAGACTAGCGGGTGGGAGAGCGCATGATGGGTCATATAAGGAAGTCTAGAAATGAGGAAGAGGGTTCTGAGCACATGATGGGTCATATGAGAAGGAATTGAGACGTGAGGTGAGGAGTTCCGTGGCTACATATTCTGGGTGTGGGTTGATAAGGGGGTGATGTGGTGGTTGGGGATTGGTCAGAAGTTGGCTGCACAATTTTTGCTGGCTCGACCGTTCTTTGGTACGATACAAAGTGTCTCGTTTCTAAGAAATATGTGTTGCGTCTCTTTTACGGTCACCATAAACAATCGCAAATTGTACAGCTCCCCTACCCAGTTTGTCGAACTGATTTTCCCTTTCGCGAAGCGTGTCGAGTTTTCGCCGAAGCGCGTCGAGTTTTCGCCGACCATATTTTCCCCCATATTTTTTTGAAGCGCGTCGAGTTTCCATTGACCAATTACAGACGAGAAATTTGGCCTCTCTCGTGTTTTCTGATTGGCTGGTACCATATTTGTCCTTGGCCAATCACAACCGACCCAGCATGCTGCTCTTGCCTAGGCAACCCGTGCTTCTTTGGTATGGTCGTTGGGATGTGGCTGGAATAAAGCGGAAACCTACAGAACGCTAATAATTCACCACGGTAGCGGATAGGTTTAGGTTTGGAGGGCCCGATGAAGCGGGGACATAGGGCCTCTGGACAAAGCCTTTGCCAATGTGGACTTTGCTCCCACGAAGCCTTCGTCCCTGCTTCATTCCCATTTCCTCTCAACCTCGTCCAGGGGGACTTCGTAAACCCTTTGTCACAAATGTCCAACCCAACCCCGATTCACATTTTTGGGATGTCGTTAATCTGCGCGTTGGCCTTCCCGAACCGCATCTTCCTCCCCCCCCTCAGATTCGCCGCCGCGTCCTCACTCTTGCCCATCTTGCGGCCATTCACGTCCTTGAGCTCACGCGCGTCGCTCATCTCCTGCTCCGAGTAGAGCCCGTCCACCATGTTGGCGCGTAGCCAGTTCCAGTACCCCTTGGCGTCCTCCAGGTCCGCGTTCGGGTTCAGCATCATGCTCACGCCCGCGCCGGCGGAGTCGGAGGTGAGCAGCGCGTCGTCCGCGGGGAAGAGCATGGCCTTGCGGTCCAGCTTGCCGAGCGTCTCGTCCGTCGGATTCCAGTCGCTCTCTGAAGCATTGCATTGCATTGCTCACACCAACACAAGAAACCAGAGCTTGATTTCGTCAACACATGATGTGTTGAGGAGAACGAGGACTAATGGTTGAGCGCAAAAGGTGTTGACGAGTTGTAACCCCGGTTTAAACATGCCGAGAGATGTAGCTTTTTACAGAGAGCTTTCATGCTACTTACCCAATTTCGGGATGAAGTGGTCGAGGAAGGTGGTGGTTATCCGGTACTATTTGCTGGAAATCGCGGGGTTCTTGAGTGCATCGCGCGCGCTCTTCACCTCGGCGATCACCTCCTCCTTGCTGGGCCGCTTCGCCGCCGCCGGCGCGACGAGCACCGCGACCAGCGCGCAAATGCCGAGAATCGCCAGCTGGTTCCACCACGACGCCATGCCTCGCGCTTGAAAAGAGGGAACGAGAGAATTTCTCGACGGAACGAGTGAAGAGGGGAGAGAAGCTCGAAGTCTTTGAGAGGACTACTCGGCGGAAGAGAGAAGCAGAAAGATCGGGTGTTTCTGGGCAATGTGTGTTCACGTGCTTGTGTGATCATGTATCGAGCAGAACAGGGCTCTGCTTTATGCTCTGGCGATGAGCATTCGTTGGAGCAGAAGCGGCTGGGTTCTCGGCGCGTGAGGTGCGCTGGTGGGGGAAACGAAGGGTTCTGGGACTCACGCTCGAAAATGAAAATGGGTGGCAAGCGGTGTAGAGAATAAACACGCGGTCTCATGCGTTTTATCGTGGTATGGCTGCCTTGTTTTGTGTTGAACCTCGGCTACAAAAGCACTGCGTTTCGAGTGATGCAATGCCCCAACCAATCGGATGGCGATTGATTTTTGTGTGGGTCTCGAAACGCGTTGGCTGTGTGTGAGCCGTATGATGCGGCTGGGGATTGTGGGCTTTGTTGCGGAGGAGGGTTCCCTGAACGAGGGAACCCATGGATGGACCATGGTACCCCTCAGGATTTACTCTGGGGGCGCGTTGCTTCAGAATGGATTTTTAACCAGTCGTCATCTGGGGGACTTCGTACCCGTCAGGGCCCGTTTTCGGGTCAAAATCTGCCAGAACCTAGGTTAAAAGCCAGGTTCGAGCAAAAAGAGACCCGAGACCAGCGGAGTCGGTGGACCCCGAATCCGTCAAAGAGGGCGTTCCGGTCAAAAGCCACCCGTTAAAGAATCAGCATTTGGGTAGTTGCTCGTCGAGCATAGCCCCCTGGCGGGAGGCGTGCTTTGACGAAAACAAGGTTCCCGACATCACTATTGAAAATGAAAAGGATGGCAGGTGTAGAAATGTTTACGTCTAAATTGTCCAGATCCCCGCGTTCGCCACTTGAAAAATGTTTCGAAACTAGAATTCCAAAATCAATGCCCCGACATACCCTCAAATATTATACGTTCAGGGCAACTAGCCTTCGAACATGGTTCCGTTCGGCGGTTCGTGTGTTCGTAGCCTGGATGCGACTGCGTTTGTCAAACGATGCCCCAACCAATCGGATTGACGATTTTTTTTTTCCCGAGTCAGCCTCATACGTGTTGCATCTCAGGCCTGAACTTGAGTGCTGCTGAGCCGTGTGATGCGGCTGAGGATGCAAAACCATGTCAGAATAGAGCGCACGCGAAAGATCAAGGGAACCCATGGTACCGCTCTGAAAGCATCTGCTCTTGTTCCGTGAAGTTGACTAGTAATGTAATGTAAGTACGCGACTCCAACTTGAACCATACACTCCGTCCTCGTACGCGCCAAGGGCCATATCTACAGAGGAAATTACTATGTCAATATAGCATATGATCCATTGTGTGTATCTTTCCCTATTTCGCCATGAGAAGGGATGGAGTGGGCGAGCTCCAAAGGAGATGGCTTTTGTACAAGGCAATGCATTGGTGCGTCCCAAAATACGAGGACCATAAATACGGAGTAGGTATACAGTAGGTACGGCATAGATACGTCTGCTACGGAGTAGCCTTGCTATACGAACAACTATACCTACAATATAGGTGAGATCCACATTTTTGTGACGTGGGGTTGGAAAATGGGCGCGAGAGATATAAAATGGGTGGTGGGCGAGTGAAAGGGGGCGACGGGGGAAGAAAATGGGCGTGACGGGACAGGGGCGAAGGGAGAGGGGAAGGGTAAAGCGAAACTGAATAATAAAAGAGTTTCATGATGGGTGTTTTAAAGGCTAGTAGTGTGCGCCCACTAGGACATGGGTGTCTGACAGAACATGGGTGTGTGACAGGACATGGGTGTGTGACAGGACATGGAAGTGTGACAGAACATGGGTGTGTGACAAGATATAGGTGTGTGATAGGACATGGGTGTGTGAGAGGCCATGGGTGTGTGAGAGGCCATGGGTGTGTGACAGGCCATGGGTGTGTGATATGACATGGGTGTGTGACAGACCATGGGTGTGTGACAGGCCATGGGTGTGTGACAGACCATGGGTGTGTGACAGGCCATGGGTATGTGATAGGACATGGGTGTGTGACAGGACATGGGTGTGTGACAGGCCATGGGTGTGTGACAGGCCATGGGTGTGTGACAAGCCATGGGTGTGTGACAGGCCATGGGTGTGTGACAGGACATGGGTGTTTGACAGGACATGGGTGCGTGACAGGCCATGGGTGTGTGACAGGCCATGGGTGTGTGACTGGCCACGGGTGTGGGACAGGACTTGAAAAGTAGTCATGGAAAATGCGAGCAATGAAGGACGTGCATGTGTGCATGTATGCATGGGCGTGTGTGCATATGTGCATAGGGTTGTATGCAATTATGCAAGTATAGTTTCTAGTCTCGAGGCTGGTAAGCAAGACACGAAATTTGCAGAAGGACAACCTGATTTGATAGCAGACATGACCTAAGAAATCCTATATTCGATTACAGATCCTTCGTTGATCAAACCAATTCTGTTCAATGAATCGAGGCATATTGCAGCTGTGTCGCATGAACCTCGTTGTACCCATTACCGAGTTTCATGGGACAGCACGGGAGGTGCAGGCGCGGAATGTGAGGTTCAGAGAATATTGTAAGCAAGTATATTTAGTGTACATAGCCAACGGCACTTTTGATAAAGGTACAGTGATGGGCGAGTTGGGAGCGGTTGGCCAGGTGGGAAGGAAGCAAGTTGGGGCATGACACGTAAGTAAGCATGAGGAGCGGTTTGGGCAGTGGCTTGCGGCGAATGAGAGAGGTGAGTCGATGGCAGGAATCACAGGGCCATCATAGTAGGAGAAACTCCCAAAACGGCGCGCAGCGGAAGCAGCTGGGAGGGCAGGGTTTGGCTTCGGAGTGGGACTGCTAGGAGGAGGAGCACAAAAGTAGTAAGGAGGGGTAGTTGTTGCTACTCTGTTTGTTCTCTCGTTATCATGGGAAAGCCTGTATGCTCTCTTACTAGTGGATTTACTCTTGAGCAACGCTAGATCCATGTAGGGAGGTCGGACAGAGGTGCAGTTGAGAGGATCAGGATGCGAGATTGAGTCTTGGGCTTTTTCGTACAAACAGAGTTATGGTGGGCATGTCACTGCGTAGCGGCATGCGCCTACCTGTGGGAGAGACTCCCCCGCTGGGGGAGGAGAACGTGTCACCAAACGAAGGAGGCGAAGAACAGCGAGGGGAATCGTCCGAGGATAAGCGCGAATCTCCGCGCGAGAAGGCTGGCGAAGGAGCGCAAGAGTGGGACGAGGAGATTTGTGGCTCTAGCAGTTTCGCCATGCGAGCAGATCGCCATCCGGGAGAAGGAATCCCATCGGCGGGAAGAGGAGGAATCCCTTCGGGCATCGCGGAGCGCAGCAGAGGGGTCTCGGACTCGAGGGCAGCCGGATCCGCAGAGGTCGCCACATCTGCGCGCTTAAGCGAGATGGGTGGCGGAGGTGCCATCGGGGGGAGAGGCGCGTCCGTGGGAGGGCCGTCAAGGCGGTCCTTGTGGGAGGAGGGGACGAGATATTGCTACACCAGCCTTCCGAAAGTGGAGGTTCCAGCTCGCTTTACGGGCGACCAGGAGATTGGGACGCGGCTTAAGGCGTATGTGATGCACATCCACTGCGAGAAGTTCTGCTGGGAGCAAGATGGATTGGACTTAAGGCACTTCTTTCGCTCCCTGGGGAACACGCTGGCCGGAGACGTGGAGGCGTTCTTACTGGAAGTGCGCGATCTGCTGCTGCAGGAAGAGGAGCGGGATGCTTTGGGCCGGGTTTGCTGCGATGAGGAGGGATGGATCTTGATGCTAAGAGATCCGACGGAGAGGTTCCTCGCCGAGCTGCAGGTCCATTTCCCCACGCAGACGCGGCGCGGCTAAGAGAGTTTGAGCAGCTGCGGAGGGCCTCAAGAGAGTCACTGCTAGCGTATTACCGGCGGGTGGATCAGCTGGCTGACGTCATCAGCTGCAACGAGCCACGGATAGTGGTGGCGAAGTTCCTAGATGGGCTGTCGAGAGATCTGGTGGGGACGGTGCGAGACCACACGTACAACCTACGGCCGAACGCCACGCTTCGTCAGGCGTATGCGATAGCATGGCGGAATGAGCAGTCCCTGAGCATGTATGACCTCGGGAAGAGGGCAGAACGGACCATGCCCCACGAGCGTGATCGCAGGGGAGTAAGCTGGGGTGGAGCCATGATGGCAGACAGCGAAGGAGATGAGGAAGGAGGGCTGGAAGGCAGGAATCAGAGGGGACGGGCGAGGAGGGCAAAAAGTGCGACTCCGCCCCCGGGTGAAGAGCCTGTGTGCTATAAGTGCAGGGAGCCCGGGCACTTCAAACGAGACTGCCCCAAGTTGCAATCCTGTACATATTGCCAGCGAAAGGGGCATGCGGCCGACGACTGCTACACGAAGCAGAGAGAGGAACGGAGCCGTGGGGGCAGACGCAGTCGCATAGAAGCACTGGAAGAAGAGCTCAGGAAGCTCAAGGGGGAGGCGGAGGGCAGCGAGGAAGAGGAGGACTAGGGAGCACTAATGGCTTGAACAGACCAAGAGGATAAGGGGGAGCTGCCAGAGCCCTTCTTCATGGCCTCGGGGAGAGATCGAGACCGAGAAGACCTGGGGCTGCGCATCGGGGGCAGAGATGGACGCCGAGATATGCAACAGGGGCACAGAGGGCCGAGGATGGAGCCCTCCCCAGCGGTGCAGCGTGCAGCGGAAGCTGTAGCGGAGGCAGTGGCACGTGCAGGGGGCAGCCATGGGCCACGCATGCATCCCTTTGAGCGTATGGCGGCACGTCCGTGCGTGGTGGAAGCAGTGGAAGGGTCCGTGGAGGTAGAAGGAAAATTACCTAGGTACG